GAGGCCTGGTCAAGGACCGGGCCGCGGGGACACTAAAAAGCCCCGAAATCATCTCAAGAAGATATCTCAAGATAACCCAGGCGGAACAGAGCCAGCCGCTGTTGTAGGTGAAAACTAGCTATGCAGTACCCCGTGCCCCTGCCAGTGACGAAAACTACCCCTACTCAGAGACAAACAAGGGTAAGAAAAACCCCAGCTGACTCCAAGGGGTTGCCAAATACCGAGCAGTAATCGGCACAGTGGAGATAGATCCTGAGGAAACTTGTGGAAGGAGGCCCCAAGCCCTAAGGGCAGTACTTACAAGGCACCTAAGGAAGGTGTCCCTAGATGCATGCAGCCTGAGTACCGTGGAATCTCTCTCCCTGTTCACACACCACCAGAAGGGACAGCCCACACCACAAGGCACAGAACTTACAAAAAACTGGAGCCAGAGGCACGACTGCACCAGACATCCATCAACCTAAGAACTGTAGGTTGGGTTGCCAGCAGATGAGTCTGGGGCTCCCCCTTCCCCCCTCCCGGGGAGGGGAGGGGGTTGCATAAGACAGCGGCACGGCAACATGATGACATCATGCTAGTTTGCTAATTTTTGTTTGGGGGGTTTTCTCCACCTATTCGTTTTTTGGTCGCAATACTTTTACCAGAATAGGGGTTTGTTTTGGGGCACCTACCTTTCTGGAGGCCTGTCCTGGTCGATGGCAGATATAGAATGCTCCCAACCACAGGGGGTCTCTATAGGCCATTGGTCCTCGTGCCTCTCTAGAGGGGGCCAGGTTCTGGCTCATGGCCCCCAGTAGGCAAGAACTCTATGCATTGACTGATGCCAGAAAGATATACATATCCATTCAGCCTGGATAGCTCCGGGAAGCTGACGGGGTTCCCCCCAGAAAAGAGGCGTTGATGGAGCAGGCGCTAGAGGAGATCTTCTCTGCCCCAGCTGTCAGGTGGGAGTTGCCACAAGGATATTATTACATAATTATTTCAATGTCTCTGATTGATTTTTACTAATTTTTTTGCAGTAATATTATTCAATAGTGTGCAGGGTGATATATTTAGATAATAAAATGTGTGAATCATCACTATATTCAAAATTATGATGCGCATATCAGTGATTCAATTATTATGTTCATAAAACAATAAACAAATAGTTTTGTGGTTATTACACATGTTATATATAATTATCTGCATGTTTTGTTCACTATAACAAACCACTAAGTTAGTATGCTTTGTCAAAAAGCAGCAAGGAGTGGCCGGCACACATCAGCCAGCCAGCCACTCGCCACCACTCCCTCCCTCATCTCACCTGACTCGCCAACATTCTCCTCCCACCATACTGTTTTTGTTTTTATTCACTATATACAGGCATTATATATATAAGTATCTACATGTTTTGTTCACCATAACTGTTCAACTAAGCTGGTATAGTGCCCAAAGAGCATAGTGGTCACCCTTACACAGCATGACATATCATGCAGATGATGCCACCACCCTCACCAAAATGGCTGCTCCCAACACTCCTTTTGCTGTTATTACATTATATATACACACGTTATATATAAGTATCTACATTTATGTTCACCATAATGAACCACTAAGTTGGTATGCTGAGTCAAAAAGCAGCAAGGAGTGGCCGGCACACCAGCCAGCCAGCCACTGGCTGTAACTCCCTCTCTCACCTCACCTGACCCGCCAACATTCTCTTCCCACCATACTGTTTTTGCTTTTATTCATTATATACAGACGTTATATATAAGTATCTGCATGTTTTGTTCACCATAGCGAACCACTAAGCTGGTATAGTAAATGCAGACAGCAACAGGTGGCCACACAGATTTGGCACATATCACTACAGCTCTCCCACCCTCAACATTACTCCTCCCACAGCACAGCGCAAATTACCACAACAATCCTGCTATTATCAGAATCCTGGTCATTTATATCACAGTCAGGGGTCTTCTGTAATATTATCATCGCTAAACAATACCAGTTACATATATTTTTTACATTTTTACGTGATGCTGCGGTCACAAGCTGAACAGCAGTGCTGTGAGCTCATGCTGCGTGCATCAGCCTTGGTGGCTTACTGAGTACTGAGACCCCCTCACACCCGGGAATGTTGCCCATGATTTTTTTTAAATGGCATCTGTTTACAAGAGCCCTGAGGAAGGTGATGTGAACTCTGTGTATCCGCAGACCACTTAAATCTTGTTTAGTACTCCAAAACTTCATATGCAGTGATGCGCATCTTTGCGTCAGTTACTCAAAACTTCATATGGAGTGTTGCGCAGTTTAACCCTTGGGCTGCTAAGGTCATAATGGCTTCAACACCCACAGGCAAAAAAAAAAAAAAAAAAAAAAATTCTTTTGTCTTATAAAATTGTTCATTTGTGTTCCCTGATCACAGAAAAAAATAACAAAAAAATCGTAGGTGGCATATTTTGGCCACAATCGGGTGGGGAAGTCTGGCAAAAAAGAGGCGTTGACAGAGCAATCGTCAGATGAGGTCTGCTCCGCCCAAGCTGTCAGGTGGCAGTTGCCACAAAGATATTATTACCTAATTATTTTAATGTCTCATTGATTTTTTCTTTATTTTTTTGCAGTAATTTTATTCAATAGTGTGTATTGTGATATATTTATATAATAAAATGTGTGAACCATTGCTGTACTCAAAATTATGGTGTGCATATTAGTGATTCACTTCACTGCACTTCACAATATTAACTGGGAATCCGAATTTAATAATACACAGGATATAAACTCATTAACTAACCTCTTTCTCTTCAAAACTCTAAGTCTCTACAACACTCACTGTCCCCTCCTTGCCAAACAAGTAACTGATAAAAGAAAAAATAACCCGTGGCTCACAAGTGGCATAATTAAATCAATCAACAAAAAACATGAATATGAAAAGAAATTTAGGATTGGCCTAGTTACAAAGGAAGTAGTTAAAAGGTACTCATCAGTGCTTACGAGTATCATAAGAAAAGCTAAACTTTCATATTATGAGACTAGATTCAAAGAAGCAAAAGGCAACATGAAAAGCACATGGAATACCGTCTCTAATATCCTAGGAACTAAACAACACTCCCACAACCAGATAACACTTTCTAAGGATGGCCTTACACCGTCATCTGATTTAGAAATGGCGAATGAATTTAACCCTTTAACTGCACGGCCTATAAATATGACACCCCCCCCGGTGCGCAGGAAATAAATTCTCTTGAAAATTTTTTTTTGTTTTTTAAAGTGTCAAAAACCCTTTCCCCAGTATGGGTATGTCAAAAAAATTCGAACTTGTACTTACTTTGGCTGCTATGGGGTCTGTAAGTAGGCGCATGACGTCATCATTCCCCGTTCGCCCATGCAGTAAGCTCCCGGGGCCGGTGGGGCGCACGAGTTGCCTCGAATATATTTTTGTTCATTTTTTGCGCACAGTTTCAAATACATTTTATTTATTTTTACGTGCTAATCCTATGTATAATGAACACATACACTATATTATGGCAGTAAAACATCCGTACTGTCTGAGGACACTGTGTTACGTGCATGACACTTGTGTACACATATGTTGCATATATTTACCATGTATCATGCTAATTTATGTATATATACAATCTATTTACAGACTATACACTGTCACACACTATATACATTCACCATCAACACACACACAACTTGAATGTTTTGCACACTGTGCAACGGGAATCGTTGCACACTGTGGACCAGGAACTGAAGCCCGTCTATGCACAGTATGGGCGTTAACTGAACCTGAGGTAAAATTTATGTGAACATGAGGGTCTTGGTTCCTCATGTGGTGCCATGCGGTGGCATTTGGCTGGGCGAGACGCTGCTGATGTGACAAAATCTTGCTTGGTAACACCACTGGCACTAGCGACAGGTGTGGTAATAATATGCTCTGATTCCACCTCACTAAAACCAGGAAAAGAGTCACCTTCCTCTGACTCGTTGCCCAAAATATCCTCATACTCTAAATACGTACAAGAACTGTGTGGCCGTGCACGAATTGGAGTAGACACTGGGCGAGGAGGAACTGGTGAGCGTGTAGGCCTTGTCATAGGAACAGGCTGTATTTCAAATTCACTCTCTGTGCTACTATCATCGGTCATTTGTGTGTAGTCCTTATCAATATCAGAGTCATCAATATCACTTTCCTCACTATCAGAAAATAATTCACTAGTTATTTGCTCTTGAGTAAGTGATTGTGTGGTGCGTGCCTGGGAGGCGTTTGGCTGTGCGCTTGCCATGGTGACTGCTAGGTAACTGAGGCCTCCCATGCATTGGTGGTGGAGCTGGATTATTTTTCAAAATGGCAGCTGTTTACCATAGCCCCTGGGCAGCGTATGGGGGGCCCCCTACCCCGCTGGCCATTCAAATCTTGCGCAGTACTCCATCATGTCATATAACGTGTTGCGCAGTTTAAAGGTTAAGTGTGGAGTAAAATATTGTAAGAATAGCAAACACCACATTTTTGTAAGTGCAAAGCTGAATGTGGCTGCACCAGACAAGTAAATGAGGTGACTGGAAGGTGGTGACCCAGAGTGAACTGGGCTGCCATTTGTTTGTTGCAGGTACATAACAGTTGGGGTGTTTACTCCAAAGCAATGAAAGTTTACCTTGATTTCTGTCAAGAATTTGCTTGCTTTGATATTCTTATACTTTCTATTGGGAATATTCAAGGTTCTGGGTTTATCTGTGATCTCTAAGCTTACATTGCCTAGAAGAGATAGCCATTCTGGTCCTGGCATCTAATAGGTTGGGTAGATCTCCAAGCCCTGGTGTAATTCCCTAAGGCTTGGCAGTTCCAGTACTGTAACTAGGGGGAGCTACTGAGGAAGCCCTCTCCGAAAAAGTTATATCCACAGAAAATTTACACAATGGGTAGAGAATTTACATACAATATAATTATGATACCTGTAGGACAAAAGTGTTTTAGGCAAATAGTTTAATATTTAATGTAAAAAAAAAGACAATCTAATTACCAAATCTGTTGGATATTTGTGCTTGGCAAAACGAGATATTTCGTAGGGCTCACCAAATCCAAACAAGGTTTTTCTGAAACTGAAGTTGTCCAAAGACAAATCCTTCACTTCATTGGATTCCACTGAAATATAATAAGATATGCTGCTATCATTCTCTGAAACTCTGTTGAACATCAATACTATACAGTAGAAACTCATAAAAGAAAATAGGATACAACTGAACAGAAGGTTTAGAAGAATTGGAAGAATTCCTGATTATAATAGAAAATAACTGAGGAATTCTAGAGGTGACATACTACATATTTACTAAAGTGAAAGGTGGCGCTGAAAGCAAAATTAACTTATATTAACAATTTACTTTTACCAAGAAATTTTGGTATGAAAATACTGTACAGTACTGCATAAATATGTCTATTATAAGAATACAAAAACCATAGTACAGTACTGTATGTATACTGTATATATGTGTGTGCTGTATATACTGGATATATACTGTATATACTTTAACAGTCCCCACGGTGTAGTGGTTAAGATATTCGCCTTGCATTTCGCAAGCACTTTGTCCTGGGTTCATATCCAAGTCAGGGAGGATTTGCTGGGCATCAATCCTTAACTGTAGCCTCTGTTTACACAACAGTAAAATGGGTACCTGGTTGTTAAACGATTTGGCGGGGTCGTATTCCAGGGAACACAGGATTAAGGACATGCCCGAAATACTACCTGAGCTAGTGGCTGTACAAGAATGAAAAAACTCTTGTATATATAAATATAGATCTTATTGTTTTTTTCTTGGATGTTCCTGCACGGATCCAGAGCTTCTGGCTGGCCCACTAAGTTTAAGTAACTGTTGTCCATTGACCTTACCCAAGATGCAGCCCACAACAATTGCCTAACTCATAGGCACCTATTTTACTGCTAGAATAGAGGCAATGATAAAAGGAAATAAGCACAACAGTTTTTGTCCTTCCTTGGGATTGAACCCAGGTTCATCGGTTGTGAGTCAAGGATTTTGATCACTATGCTATAGGACCTTAGATAGGGTTATCAAGAAATCAAGACACTGAAGCATAGCGAGATAATTTCACAAAAGTCATCACAGAAATTGTTCAAAAATATGTATAAAGAAGGAGAGGAAAGCAAAAAACCAGCATTGAATGTAATGAAACGCCATTTTCTGGGTTAGCCCCTGGAGGCTCCATGAAGCTATCAAACTGACATGTGCCATATTAGTTTGGTACTGTACCATCAATCCTTGGAGTTCTAGTGCCTACCTGGGACTACCTGGGGCTATGGGCATATGAACTCTCTATATTTAGAGTTTGTCATATCTGCCATCAACTGGGGATATCTTCAGAAAGGTAGATGAACCATTACAAACCTTTAACTGGTTAAAATTGCAACCTATGTCCAAACAGAGACCCAGAACTTTCCTCAATAGAAAACAGTGAAACAAGCAACATGTCATCCAACTAGCGCAACCACTCGTTAGTGTCTAACCCTCCCCTGATAGGGGGAAGGGGGGGGGGGGACCCTGCTCAGGCGAGCAGGCCTACCTTGAGGTTACCTTGAGGTGTTTTCAGGGCTTAGTGTCCCTGCAACCCGGTCGTTGACCAGGCCTCCTGGTTGCTGGACTGGTCAACCAGGCTGTTGGACGTGGCTGCTCGCAGCCTGATGTATGAGTCACAGCCTGGTTGATCAGGTATCCTTTGGAGGTGTTTGTCGAGTTCTCTCTTGAACACTGTGAGGGGTCAGCCAGTTATGCCCCTTATGTATAGTAGAAGTGTGTTGAATAGTCACGGCACTCTGATGTTGATAGGGTTCTCTCTTAGAGTACCTATTGGACCTCTGCTCTTCAATGGGGGTATTCTGCACATTCTGCAATGCCTTCTAGTCTCATGTGGTGTTATTTCTGTGTGCAGGTTTGGGACCAGCCCCTCTACTATTTTCCATGTGTAAATTATTATGTATCTCTCCCGCCTGCGCTCAAGAGAATACAGATTTAGGCATTTCAGTCGGTCCCAACAGTTCATGTTTTACTGAGTGGATTCTAGCAGTGAAGGATCTCTGCATGCTCTCCAGATCAGCAATTTCTCCGGCTTGGAAAGGGGCTGTCACTGTACGGCAGCATTCCACTCTAGAGAGCACTAGCATCTTGAAGAGTATCATTATTGGTATAGCATCTCTAGATTGAAAAGTTCTTGTTATTCAACCTGTCATTTTTCTTGTAGTTGTGACGGCTACTTTATTGTGTTCTTTAAAGGTAAGGTCTTCCGACATGAGTACACCCAAATCCATTACATTGCTTTTTTGTTCTATGTTATGATTTGACTGCGCTTTGTACATGGTTTCTGCTTTTATATTTTCATTTTTTTCGTAGCGCAAGAACTGGAACTTATCTTCATTAAATACCATATTATTTTCTGTAGCCTATTGAAACATGTCTTGGCCTCGCCACCTTCAGTCCGGAGAATGATAAAACCAGTGTTGAATGTAATGAAACAATATTTTCTGGGTGGGACCTGGAGACTCCCCAATATCAGCTATCCAGGCTGATATTCTTAGTATTAGACTTGGCATCAGTCGTGTGAATGGAGTTCTTTAGGCCTACCGGGGACCACAACCCAGAACCTGGCCCCCTCAGAGAGGCACGATGAGCAATGGCCTACAGAAACCCCCCATGTGATTGGAAGCATTCTATGTTTGCCATCGACAAATCAGGCACCCAGATAGGTAAGCATCCCAAAACAAATCCCTATACTAGTGAAAAATTGCTACTGAGAGCCGAACTAGTGGATAGAACTCCCTAAACAAAAACAAGCAAATGAGCATGATGTCACCACATTGCCATTCCGCTGTCTGCACAGCTACCCTCCCCTCCCAGGGAGGGAGAAATGGGAGCCTAGACCCCTTGTGCCCGCTATCCAAGACCCCAGTTCTGAGACTGAATGTCAAAAACATGTGATAAACCACAGACCGGAGGGAGGGGTGCCGGGGAGCCTCTGCGCCTCACCCAAAAAATGGCGTTTCATTACATTCAATGCTGGTTTTCTGGGGGGGAGCCCCATCGGCTCCCCGGAGTTACCAAAAGACAAAAACAAGAGGGACTTACCCGGGAGGCGGACATCGCTTGCTCCTCAACATGAAGCTGAGACAACCGGCTGCAACCGGCGACCCAAAGCGAAACAGGCCCTACGATGCCCAGAAACATTAACTAAGTAATGCGCAGCCAGGACCCCGTTCGACCATCAAAATCCCAACACCTGAATGTCAGCCCAAAACATGTTGCCAAAGACGGCAGCAAGAGCAGCAAACTAACAAACATCGTGGGCACGAGGATAGACTGCAGGCTGGCTGAACCGAATAACCCTGAGGACAACCTGAGAGACCCGCACCCTGAAACAGGGAAGAAGAGAAACTGGATCAACCCAAAGTGCGTCCTCGGACATGGAAGCCGTGGCGCGCAAATAACAGAGGAGGGCCGCAACCGGACACAACACATGATGCACCCCCAGCGTAACCAACCGAGCATCAACAACCCAAGGACCCCTTTGGAAAACAGCTGTCTCATTCTACGCCAGAAAAGAAGGAGACGGTTGCAAGTGAACAACCTCTGCTCTTTTGGTCCTCATGATAGGACCAAAAGAGCAGAAACCCCTGCGCCAGAGGAGAGCATGAAGCTCCCGACCCTACCCACAGAGGCCAATGCCAACAAGAAAAGAGCCTTGGAAAATCAATCCAGAACCGAAGGGGCCACAACAAACCAAACAGAAGAGAGGAAAGAACGCACCCGATCCAAGGACAGGACAGCTCAGGCGGTGCATGAGCAGGCCAGAGGTGAAAAATGCACAAGACAGCTTGCAAAATGGTGCATCAATATTGAAAGCAAACTGTAGCAGCTCCACCAGAGCCGCACAATACGAGGCGACAGTATTCGACATAAGATGACGGTCCTGAAACAAACATGAAAGAAAGGACAAGACAACTTTAACCGAGAGCAAAGAATACCAACAAAGTGAGAGAAATAAATAAAAGGACCACCAGGAAACTTCATACTGCAGCCGATACGAAGCCCGCACGTAGGACACCGTCAAGGATGCCACCTGATCACCATACAGATGGTGATAAACCATCTGTATGGTTTATCATACTATTTATCTATTTGGTCAAAAAGACCAAACGCGAAGATTCGAGAAGATCGAACCAGCCACGTGACGGACTGGACCAATCTGCTGAAAGAGGCGGAGCTGTGGGAAAACTGCCGGGTTTGGACACCGACCAAGCAGTGCCTGAAACCAAGTCTGGGCTAGCCACCATGGGGCCAAGCGGACGTCTCATCCCTGATTAGTCTCTAAGCGAGCCAGGACCTTGAGCAATAGCTGAACCAGAGGGGAAAAGGAACAGGAACCCACACCTCGACCAGTCGTGCTGAAAGCCATCGACTCCGACAGCGGCACAGTCGGGGAAGGGCGCCACATACACTGGAAGACTCCTTGACCAAGCCGACGCGAAGAGGTCCACATCCAGGCGCCTGAACGTCTGGAAGAGCTAACTGAAGGAGTCGGCATTGACTGTCCATTCCATGGACAGGGGAACAAACTGAGATGGGCCATCTGCCAGAACACTGGACATCCCCCGAATGTGAACCACCAGGAGAGGCAAACCCCGAGAACTCAGCAGATGAGTCACCCAAAGTGACCAGCCCCAAAGAGCCAAGGACTGCATCGAACCTCCGCGGCTCAGACAATGAACCACTGTGAGCCGTCCAAATTGAGCCGGATCGTCGATCCGTGGGCAACCTGAACCCTCTGTAATACAGCTGCAGACACCAGACATTGTTGCACTCATGGAGACAAAACTTGAAGATGTTATTTTAAATGAGATCATATTCCCAAGGGGCTACTCAATTTGGAGACAGGACAGAAAAATTAGGAAAGGCGGTGGCTTTGCTGTGCTGGTGAAAGAACACCTAAAGGTGAACGAAATAATGACTGCCAATCCACAAGAAGTTGACATAATAGCACTAGAGATCTGCCATGAGGATGATAAACTAATGATCATAAATGCATATAGTCCACCGCCAAGCAGCACATGGTCAAAGGAGGAGCTAGATAGTAAACGAGAA